CCTCAGCAGTGTACTTCGTCCATCTGCCATTTCTGTTCCCCACTCTGTCTCTGGTGAATCCTCTCACCGCCCTGCACCTCTGGCCTGTACCCCAGTTCTGTATGCATAAATAAATAAATCTTTTTAAAAAGAAAGAGAAGAGAAACTGAAGACAAAATTATATTGGAGAAAGGTTGGATATCTTGGGAAACATAAGAAATTTAAGGGGAAAGAGAATAGGGAATTGGAAAATGCAGTTTAAGCTGGATGATTATTTTTTGGTTTTGGGCTCCTGGTTACTATCTGGTCATTTGCTAAGGGAATGTTTTCATACTTTTATGACTTTCTTCTTTTAAATTAATTGTTCATAGTCAACTTTGCTGTTCTGAGCAGCTCAGAGGTTGTAACTCTGTTATGTATATCTGACAGAGAGAAGGGGCTTGTGGCTTCAGGTGAAGGACTGGGCTCCTGTTTTATTATGTCTCACTCTTCAGCGTCTGTTTCCTTGTGAATGTGCTGGGTAAGTTCTTGACTGAAGTGCAGTCATCTCTGTATCCTTTTCCTACTCAAATTCTGTAGATTGCCTGAAAATATGGTTTCCCCTTTCCTGTTATGAAGTAGCAACCCCTTCTAAACAGTCATTCTTTTTACAAAAAAAGTCATCATTTTTACTTATTTGCCTAGGATAATTGCCAGTGCTTCCAGATTTACTTTGTCTGGTTTTAGTTGTATTTCTCCAATTGTAATCAAGCTGGCTTAGCTTGGGTTGTCATAACACAGTGCCATAGACTAAGTGGTGTAAATAACAAATTTATCCTCATAGTTCTGGAGTCTTGAAGTACGAGATCATGAGGCAGGAATGATTGGACTCTGGAGAGAACTCTTCCTGCAGATGACTGTTCTTGTGTGGTGGGTTGGACATAAAGATAGACATGAGATAGACATAAAGATAAAGGTAGAGGTATATAGATAAGCAACGCAGTCAAAAGTAGAGATAGAGAGAGAGAGATAAATAACTGGTAGATACCAGCTAGCTAGCTAGATAAAAAAAGAACAAGCTCTACCATGGAAACCCCACCCTTATGCTCCTCCTAAGCCTAATTGTTTACCAAAGATACTACGATATTGTGACTAAAACTTCAACAGGGTTGGGGTAGAGATGGTGGGGAAGCAATTCAGCCCATAGCTATAACCCTCCCTCTGTGGGTGCTAATTGTAGCCACCATCTAAGATATCAACTCTCACTACTAGGTGTATAATAGTAGTATTCAGTTCACTGGTGCTGATCTGTTCTTTTTTTTCTAAAAGATTTACTTTTGGGGCCTTCCCTGGTGGTGCAAAGGGTTAAAGTTCAGCACTAGGAAGCTATCCGCAGTCACTGCAGCACAAGGTTGATCCCAGCCAGGTTGCTGACCCACATGGCATAGCTATCCTGTCTCACCTGATGCTCACCTCAGCAGTATATTTCAGTAGATCTGCCTGTTCTGCACCTCTCTGTCTCAAGTGAATGCTCTCATGCCCTTCATCTCTGGCCTTTACCCCAGTTATTGTATGCATAAGATTTACTTTTGTTTAGTTATGCATACAAGAGCTAGGGTGTATGGGGTATAGGCCAGGGGCATAGGGCAGAGAGAGGGTTCACCAGAGACAGAGTGGGGAGCAGAACAGGCGGATCTACTGAAATACACTGCTGAGGGGGCAGCAGGCGAGACAGGAGAGGTATGCCATGTGGGTCTCCTCCCTGGCTGGGGCTAAGAAGTGGTACTGCAGTGGCTGTAGATTGCTTCATAGTGCTGCACTATAACCCGTTGCACCCCAGGGAGAGGACTTACACAGGAGGAAGCATGACAGACAGGTGGCAGACTTCGTAAGAGGACAGGCTCTAAAACCCACCATGGACATGACTAAATGACAAGAACTAATCTTTCTTTCTCTTTCCCAGTGATTCATAGTATCTCTGAATACAGCAAAATTGGCGTGGAACTAACTTACAAGATGACTCAGAAAAATTACATTTGAACTGTGTCATCAGAGGAAAGTAGAAGGTACAGCTTGGCACTGAGCAAAATGCTTCCTTTTCTATGAATCAAATTCCTAGTGTGTCATACTTTTGGCATTGAAATTTTCAAACTACAGACATTTTGTTAATCCTACTGCTCTATTAAACTGTAAAATTAGATATCTAAACAGACATCTCAAAATTAAACTATCAAACAACTTCCTAGACTTTTTCTCAAAAACTTTTCCTCTCCTTGTCCTATCACTGTTAATATCTAAAACTAGAAACTCAGTTTTAAAAAGATTATACTTTTGGAAATACCTTTGTAAAATGCTAAGGAAGGCATATTTGGGGGGTACATCTGATCTTGACTACACTGCTACCACCCCAGCCCCTCACAATCTCTCACCCTTTTCTTAGGTTGAAGAAGCAACCGCATGTCTTTCCTCCCTTTCAGAATTTGGCACCCAGGTGAACCCAACAATCCCAATGCGCTTTGTGGTACACTCATGCATCGTTCTCAATCAGGAAAATGGGCCTTAAAAACTGATTGTAGAATTTACCATTTCAACTCTTATCTATCCACAAGAAATTTTAACCCTTACCTGCACACAGAAGCCTGGGAACTGTTTAAAATGACTCCTTTCCAGGTAGCTTTTTCCAAAATTCATGATTGAGAATATTTGTTTGACATTCACTCCTATGCAGTGTTGTGTGATGGGTGAGCTCAGAACTGTATGTTGGCTACTTCCCAAATATGTTGGAAACAAGCACATTTGATACCTATATTAATTTACTGTTCTGCTGTAACAAATTAGCATATTTAGTGGCTTAAAGCAATATAAATCTATTTTCTTATGGATACTGAGATCAGAATCTGTAAGAAAATCCAAAATCATTAAGTCTAAAATCAGGGTTAAGACAAGAGTCAGTAGGTTCCTTTTGCAAGGTCAGTGGGAGACTCCATTTCCTTGGTTTTTTCAATTTCTAGTGACACTGTATTCCTTTACTTACGTCCCATTCTCCACCTTTAAACTATCATCCCTCCAAACTCTGCTTCTGTTATTGCATTGCTTTCTCCTGAGTGCTCGTGCTTTTCCCCTAAATACCATGTCAGGCCTACTGGGGCCATACAGGGCAGTCTCCCCCTCTTTAGACCTTTAATCACTTCTGCAGATTTCCCTTTGCCAAGTAAGGCATTCATGGGCTCTGGGCATTAGAATCCGGACGGCAGATCTGCCTGTTCTGCTCTCCTCTCAATCCCCCACACCTCTGGCCTATACCCCAGTTCTTATATGCACAAATAAGTCTTAAAAAAAAAGAAATAATGAGGATAAGACTTATAGTTTGTTGACTATATAGTTAGGTTAAAAAAAAAAGCAAAAAAACGAAGAACAAGTTTCTCAAAGACATCTCATTTTATATGACTTTTTATTTATACACATATTTGTTTGCTCCTAGACATTGAAATTGCAAATCAAAACCTTAATTATAATTCAAATTTTTAAAAACCAGGAACTCTAGATAAAACCCCCATATACCCTCAACAAACCACCCCAAAAAATCATTTGTTATAAAAACATACCCACAAGTCACCTTGCTGTGTTGGGTTTCATTTTATTGGCTTAGACCTTCTAAAATACATGATTGTAGTGATTTCTTGAGTAACTTTTTTTTAAAAGGCAAGCTCTGTTAGATTTTTATAAGTTTTTGGGGTCAAGTTAGATGCAGAGGGAAAAAAAACACTATAGACCTTCTATCACAGGTTAACAAAATACTCACATATAGTCCATCAGAACATAAGTAGTATTCCCAAATGCTGCATAATGACCCTAAAATGATTGTCAACAAACAGCAGTACAATTAAGGTCTATGACTAAATGGATTCAGTGTCATACTTCTTCTCCACGCTGTCCTTCTCCTCAGGAAACTCTCTATGATACAGGCAATAATGACAGCTACACTGAAATTTTTTAATTCTTTTTTCAATCTGGAAGAAAAAAAATTGTGTTAATAATTTAACGAAATGGATTATACCCATAAAGAAATAAGACAGCTTTCAGCTCTGTACTTTGTCAATCTGCCTGTTCTCTTCCCCACTCTGTCTCTGGTGAATCTTCTTACCACCCCTGCACCTCTGGCCTGTATGTACCCAGTTTTATATGCACAAATAAATAAATCTTAAAAAAAATTTAAATAAAAAAATGTATGGGTATCAAAGAATGCCAGATTGTGTGTTATTTTAATAGCAATAGTGGCTGATTTTTTTACCAATAAAAATGTACTCTAGTGTCATTTCCCTGAATGTCTTAGGAGTTGACTCATTCAGCTGCTGGCCACTGTGTTGTCTCTTGCTGCATTGATACTAATGAAGGTCATGATTACAAGCACATGAAAAGTCCAAACATAACAGCATGACTGAACCTTCATGCAAACTAGATTAGAGGTGAGGGTGTGTCCACGCAGGTCACCAACTGAACCAACACTGGTGTGGGATGCAGTTAATGAGAAGGTCCAGTGTGTAGGGCAGGGGAATATGAGGGAATTCTGCACTCTCAATTTCCCCAATTTTGTTGTCAAAACATGTTTAATTTACCTCCATTTCCTTCCTCCGTATTTCTTCTTGTAGCTTTATGGGAAGAAAAATAAAATATTGAGAACAATCAAGAAAGAGTTGGGCTTCTCCAATGGCTCAAGGGTTAAGCCACAGCATTTATGAAGCTATCTGCAGGAGTTCCATCCACCCCGCCCCCCACGAGCTGACCCACATGGCACAGCAGGCTTCTGTCTTACCCGCTGCTCCCTCAGCAGTGTATTCCAGTGGATCTACTTGTTATGCTCACTACTCTGTCTCTGGTGACTCCTCTCACCCCAACTCCACCCCCCACCCCTCTGGTCTACACCCCAGCTCTTGTATGCATAAATAAAAAAAAATTTTTTAAGACTAAAATTACACATCTACTTCCCACCCCTTAAGAGAGGAATTGGAGAATCTCCAAAATGCCTGCCCACACCATCTTACCAGAGAAAATCGGTTGAGGTACTGGTATCTGATTTTCACCATCCTTTCCCTCAATTCTCTCCTCACAGACAGCAGTGTCCTTACTCCCCGCCTCTTGTAGGTTGTGCCCTGTGGGTTCTGCTCTTGGCTCTGCTGTTCAGATGGATAGTCTGGCAGAGGGGTTGGGAGTTTGATACTAGGGTTGAGAGTCAGGTTACGGAGATTCTTTATTAACCCTTCTGGGACAGGCTGACAGGCAGCTGAAAGAAAAGGGAAAGTGAAGACCAATTAAGGGGGATTGTATCTTGCAGAAGTCAGCCCCCTTACACTTGTCAGTCTGCTCTTAACTGAGTGAGCCACCACAGGAGTTGTCTTTAGGTGACAGGTCATCTGTGCTAGCCTGAGCCTCACGTACTGCCCTCCCAAAGGCCGCTACGATGGTTAATAGTCCACTGTCAGAAAGGCAAATGTAAACTCTTCTTGTAACTAGTTGTTTGAAATCTAGAAATCTCCCCAACCCTCATCAAGTGATCAGATACCAGGGACTGTATGACATACCTCATTATGCAGTAAATGGGAGGAAAATATGGGGCAGAAATTTGTGGACTCAAAAGCATTGCAGTGCAAGTCAGTGTGTTCTGGCGAACAAATTTTAGTTCACCTTTATAACAATTATAAACAGACCTGTTACATTTGGGAGGGACAAAAAAAATCTCAGTTCAACAACCCAGGCCTGTGACATAGACAAAGACAGAAACTCAAATACAATCTCCCCTCAAAGCTGCGTTGGTCAGCAGAACTGGGACAGGAAGAAACTGTCATCCTTTGCAGCTCAACTGAGCTTTTTCATGGTATCAGATCTTTCTGCACAAACTCAATATTTTGTGGGAAATGGACCACTCACCCTTCCTATCCCAACTATTATGCATGAACATTCATGCTTCCTACACTAAGACAGTTAACATTAATTGTTCCCTGTATAGGAAAGTATTCAATTAAATCAGTATCTATTCAACTATCTAGGACTTTGATCCCTGGTTGGGAATTGTCAGACACATCCAAGGAAAAGCAGGCTGGGTATATTATACATTTGTCTCTAAATTCATTCCCTCCTCCTTCATGCCCTATCTAGTACCAGAGTTCCTTCTTCAAGCCTGCCTGAATGAGGAGCTGGGGACGATGGGATGCGATACACGTGACGCAGCTTCCTAGCCTCTGGGTGGGTAGTTGGGGGTGTGGACACCAGCTCATCCAGCTTCCTATACCATCCAACCTCACCGCCTCTAACCAGGGGGAGGAGTTCGAACCCGGTGTTGGCTCAGAACAACCCCAAACTGGCTTCGAGTCCAAGAAATCCACAGAGCATAGGCGGGTGGGACCTAAGTAGCAATATTCTTGACGCGCATTTTTTGATAAAGCAACCCGGCTTCCCTGGTGGCGCAAGGGGTTAGTTAAATAGCAGCACTGTGGGCTACTGTAGAACAAGTTCGATCCCAAGTCAGGGAATTAACTCACGTGGCACGGCAGACCTCTCCGGTCTCCCCACTACTCCCTCAACAGTGTGTTTCCTTTCCTTCAGTCTTTCTGTTTTGCTCCCCATTCTGTCTCTGGTGAATCTTCTCGACTCCCCCCCCACCCCCACCCCCGCACCACAGCTCTTGTGTACATAAGTAAAATAAAGCTTTAAGAAATTTTAAAAGCCTCCAGTTTACGACCTGCGAATTTACATTATAGAGAACATTCACTGCCTTTTATCAAACTGCCCCATCCTACAATTTCCTCTGAAAAGCCATTTCCCCGTTGATTAACATTCCTAAAGGGTAAATTTCGCTGAAAAGCCAATCCCCAGAAGGTAGGCGAGATTAAGAAAACCTTTAGGTGAAGTTGAAGTTTTTAGGTCTCTTGTATTTTTTCCCTTTGTAACTTTCTTGGTGGATAGGGGAAAAACCAATCGTAGCTGCTCTGAGCCAAGTTGGGGTGGGGGGTGGCGGCGAGGGGAATCCCAGTTGCTTTCTCCTACAAACTGTATTTAAAAGATCCAAGCATAGTAAGCAAATAATACATTCCTCCATCTCCTACCCCCCTTATCTACTAAAAAGTCATTTATTTCTCGTTGGAAGAACCAACCTGGCCTTTTTCTGCATTGCTTTTTCTAAAAAGACCGAAGTAAAAAATTTAAAAAAGCGTAAATTTAAAAATAAAGACTGCCGTCAGTGTAAGAAAGGGTGCCTCTACGCTCTCCCGGAACCCCTAGTCCTTGAGGCGCCCTCTGGCTTACCTGAATCTTCCTGAGAATTGTCCTCAGTGGACATCTGAGAAGACTCTGGGCTCAAGGCCGGGTTCAACTTCTTTGGTGATTCCATTGGAAGTCTGGTCACAATTCGAAGCTCCTCCAAGATCTTTGTGTGTGGGCAGAAAGGGATGTTCAAATGGCAACAAAGAGCCTGAACAAACAAATAGAGAGTCCAGAAATGAGCCAGAAAAATCCCAACTCCAACAAAACGTGGTGAAGAAAGGAATTACCTTCAAAATTTAGGTCCTGCCTTCCAGAACTACAGAGAAGCCAATCTGCTGCCCATTTTAATGTAAATGACTAAAGATTAAAGGGATAAGGTGAGTGGGCGTGAACCTATCAGTGAATTAATAGGATAACTCCTCACCAGCTCTACATTAAAATAATCAAGACTTCAGTCAAGTCCATTGGAGAAAGTTACAAAACACGCCTCTAGGGTTGCGTCTTCATAGGGTTGCCTTAAAAAACCCATTGTTTCCCAAACTCTATGTGTGCCCACGTCTACTGGTTTGTGATCTAGGCATTAGGTTTTAGAGTAAGGCGGGCTGCTCCCCCAAATTCAGATGTGTTCCCTTTACCTGAAACCGTTTCCCTGTTTCACTATGTGAACTAGGAAGGAAAGTGAGACAAAGTGCTATCAGCGGATTAATAGCTTGATACACTTAAAGATAAGTATTTTGTAGCTGTAGCTTTAGTTTGTTTTATAGACTATACATTTAATTGCATTCAACATTTGGGAGCAACTGGAAAAAAGTTTACCCATTGTCTGTCTCCATCAGATACTTGAATGAATACTAGCAAAGAGCAAGACATTGATTGCTGATTATCTGCAGGAGGCAGAAGAACCTGTCTCCAACTGCCCTGCTCCGCCCCCTCACCCCTATTCAATGCCCAATCTCCTCCATTCCTCCTTCAGTTAGAAACTATGAAGAAATACCCCCGAAGCTATCTTGTTTTGCTTTTAGTAAAAAAGTAAAAAATGGAAGTATTGGTAGGGGATAAGGAGCCGCCATAAATCTTTGCCCTATCACAACACTTTATTCCATTGATTCTCAAAGGTGTGGCCTGTAGGCAGCCTCTGTAGCACTGGGGAACTAATTAGATAAGAAAAAAATGTGTGGAACTCCAAACCAGACCCACAGAACCAAAGGGTGAGGATGAGGAGTTGGGGGACTGCCATCCTTGTGCAAACAAACTTCCCAGGTAATCCAGATTCACGTTGAGACAGAAAAGTGTGGCTGGAGCATGCTTTACTTCCTCCTCCTATCCTGGGAGACTTCTTGGAGCAGACCCTGAGAATTCCATTAAAAAGGCGAGAGCAAAAACCAGATTGCTGATGAGAGAAGAACTGAGACAGATTCTCCCTCAAGAAACCAGGGCTTAAGAAAGAAAAGTGAGGAACTTAACTTGCA